GAAGCTTCACACTTGCAATGCTTCATGTGAGTACAAGCACAACTCTCTTACTGAAATCAGGGTCCCAGTGATCCACACACAACCCCCTGAGGGATGGTTATGCTTTTATGTATGTTGCTCATATTTCACACATTTACTGTGAGAAGCTTGCATCAATGCAACACGTTTGTACGCTGTAATCCATCAGGCTACTTCTTGACTGGTAACTCTGAATGTCATGACTCAGCTGAAATTGTTTGGTGAGGGGGTAGGGATGGTGTGAAACGTGTGTTTTGTTCGCTAACTGGCAGGTAATCTGTTTCTGGCAGCTGTTTCAGTAGTTGTCAGGAACTGTAGTGTAAGCAGGCGTGATTTATAGAGCGTGAAAGAGGAGACAGGTAGATAGATAGACTAGAATCCATTTGGGTCAGAATATTTGAATACAGGGCATTCTTAATGGACAATATTGTGAGCATTTTGATGTTTTTGTGATACGTTTTGCGTAGCAGATGTCTTTAAGAGAAGCCTGATCTATCCTGTTGTTTTGGCAGTTAGAAGCAGTCTTTTGTATAAACAAAGAGTGATTGAAAAGAGAAGCTGGAGAATTGATATGAAGGAGCATTAGGAATATTCCATACCAGAAGAGCATCGTTGTTTTAGGAATAGAAGCAACATTTCAATATTCAAATCCATTACTGACCTCTTACTAATCTCCTCTGGGGGATCTTTCCCTATCCAAGGCATTCAAACCAGACTGGCAGAGCATATTTCAGCTGCCATGTGTTCAGGCATCCTAAAGAAAACCAAATGGCATTACTGCAAAGGAAACAACTTGTTCTTTCAGTTAATATCATCTTGGGAAGTGGAAAAGGTGATTCAGTGTAGAGAATTACAGAACAAACAGCGTTTGGATTTTGTTTTGCTCTTGGGAATTTTATTCAGAGCTTCAACAGCACATATGTTAAGGATGCAATCCTGGACCGACTTATTGGAGGGCAGTCAGTTCAGCAGTAGCTACTTCTGATCAGAGAGATAAGGACTCTGCTTTGATTTCCCCCGTCTCTTAGAAATGTAGTATTGTGGAAGAAACAGTGATCTGCTGTAATATGTACCAAAGCAATGGAGATGTGAAACAAAGTTTTTTTTTTTATTAATATACCCAGTATTCTGGGTGTCTTGGGTTCATTTTTGGATGGTTTACGCATAGGCAGGACAAACACATAAGTATAGGTTTCATTCTCAAAGGATTTCTTTATCGTCTTACAGATACATTGGTAGTGCTTATGTTTTAATAGCACAGACTTTTACCTAGTTCTATACTTAACTTATATATACCCCAGATTTTCCTCTATAAGCTTTTTTTATTACCTTGTTTACAGAGTTTTCTGTGTTTTGTCTTAGCTTCTGGCTTGAGTTCAAATAGTGCAGGGTCTGTGCTTATATTTCTGACTCTGCTCCTTTAAGAGCTGTAAAGATTTTTCTTTAAAAAAATCCCTTCTCTTTAAACTGGTTTCCTCTTCACAGTCTCTTTGCTTAGAATTTTTACATTCTGTAGTAACTTCTTAATCTACTGGCTAAGAACTCCTCATGTCCTAGGAGCTCTGTTTATTTCTCTCTCTCTCATTGAGACTGCAGATGGATGAGTCACCTTTGAGATGAAAAACGGACTGTATAATATTTCTTCTTCCTTGCACATAACTCTCAGGTCTCAGCTGATGCTGCTTTTTTCTGTCAATACCACTATTTATTTATAGAATTTATGTGGCTATCCAATTTGGATATTGTGACTTTGGGCGGCTTACAACAATCAAAGAAAACCTAATAAAAGCATCTTGAATTAAAAGCCCAATAATCATTAATAGATGACCTGGCTCACATTCATAGCCCTCTCCAGAGGGGATCTCTACTCATTAAGTTACTATGGTCTGGATATTGAAAGGTGACAGCCTAAAAACATGACAGCTGAAGCATTTTTATCCTGGTTCACTGTAAGATTAAGATGCTCAACTAGCAGGATAGTATCCATGTGTACATACAGATGTGTGACTTTGGGTCTGTGTTCCAGAAGGATAGTCAAGAAGAGTATACAAGATTAAATACATGAAATTAGTTGCAAATTGCTTTTTTCCCTAAATATCAGCTAAGCTTGACATTTTTAATTACCTGACATTCCCAAAATTTGTACTGTACATCTGTCAGAACTGTTGCTGAGGAACCTGAAACTCTCTAGAAGTTGGATTCCATTACACTGCATATTGTCCATTTTATACCCCTGATCCCATGGCTGCAAAATATTAGGAGTAAAGTGCTTTATTTCACAAATTACATTGCACCACATAGACTTGGTTTCTATGTGATTAGAACCTGTATAGAAAATAGAATATTTCAGGTATCTATGAATTTCTAATATGGAATGTGAACTAATTAAAGCATTTCATCAAAATGTCAATGACAAGAAAGCAATCTATATACTACTAAAACTCTCCTGTCTGTAACCTTTAACTGGGCGAAATGGTGCATCATAAGGCAACAGTTTTTGAACCAAGGTACCTCAAATGGGTTAACTTACAGAATGCATCCAAAATCCAGGACCCATTACTCCCATGGGATTGAAATTTGGGAAATTTGTGATTGCTTCGTACTGCAAGGCTGCTGTGCTGCCATGGTCAGCCCAGGTCATGTGATTGTCATGGGCATATCCCTAACCTCTTTCCTGCCATTGTCTGTCCCCTGCACCTAATCAGCTGGCAGCAAGTCCCAACAAGTTAGTGGCGATTGGCTGCTTTGGAAATGAGGTAGAAATTTGAAATCTCTTATTGGCGGTGGGGATTGAAGAAAGGATGAATGAGCGAATTGGATGCTGGTGAGGTAGGGCTGGATAGGGGGCACTTGTGGTTGACAGGTGAGCCCTCTTCCTCCCTTGAGGTAGAGGACCCTTGAGGACATGCCGGAATGGGAAGTGAGGGTGCAGTTTTCCTCATGGTCCATGGATCCCTTTGTTCCACCTCCCCCCAAGTGGCAGGCTGTTCTGCGGTTCAGCTGGGGAGAAGGAGGAGGAGGAGGTGGTGGTTTCGCTGGGGCTGTCCTGAGGGTCGTGAGGAGAGGGCAAATGGTGCAAGCCTATATTGTATGTGGAAGGGAAGAAAGGAAGGAGGGAGAGAGAGAGAGAGGAAAGGAGGGAGGGAAGGTAGGAAGGGGGAGGAAGGAAGGAAGGAGGAGGGAGGGAGGAAGAAGAAGGAAGGAAGGAAGGAAGGAAGGAAGGAAGGAAGGAAGGAAGGAAGGAAG